TCAGGTCCTGTGTAGTTCAGCTAACTGCGACTCATGTCTTTGAAAGCTGTATGTTGCTTAAACTGTCATCGTCCTCCGATCATCAAATGTCCCTACCCGCGTGGATGAAGTTTACAACCTTCTTTCGTGTCCTCACATTATAAGTATTATTTTTGGTTCACCTCTCAGGATTTATTTACCAAATGGCAAATAAGTGGAGGTTAGTCACCTCCAGAGATCAATTAACCGAAGACTTCCAATTAATCAAAAATTATTACAAATCATTAGTTTCCCCGGAAATTGATGATAACTGAGAACTCAACAAAACAATTTAAAGTGGGGGGATTGAGAGGCGCTCAACAAAGAAATTACAGAAAAACAATGTACATACGCTATCCAGATTAAAAAACGGAGACACGGCTTGATTTGGATGGACATTTCATGGCATTCCCTTCATCTAATCGGTTCCTGGAGGTCAAATTTTGAGAGACCTTGACTTTGGCCGTGATACTTCAAAATCGCTGTCCTCAGTAAAATCGTCATTGTTCAGAATGAAATCATCTACGCAGTAAGCCATCTCGTCATTATATTGTTAACTTCATCTTGATTGGATCAATGGTTATTCATCATGAAATGCAGAACATTCTCTCTCCACCTCTCTGTATGTGACGAAACCTTTTCGAATTTTCATCAACTACTTAAGTAAAAAATATAAGTAGATTACATTTAGGGATGGGTGTGAATCATTCTTACAGATAGCGCGTAATTAAGTTATATAGAGAGAATAAGTGTACTTCATGTTCCCAGGATCACTGTCACAATTCGCTGTGAGCATACAATTGTTCAAAGTTATTTCAAACTAGGCTTGAACGGTCGCGTCTACTATCTGGAATGTTAACTACGTGAACCATTTTTGATGCCACTCCATGGCAAAATAATTTCTCAATAAAGTTCCATTCAGTGTCATTTCTGGCATGAAGGACAATGCGAATTCACGCACCAATTCAAGAGCCTCATCATACCTCGTCCTTCCACCCACCAGTGAATGTCAATCAGGTCAGTCATCACTGCTCAATTTCAACTGGTGTCAGATGATTGTAGGTAAATGCCACACTAGGGGGAAACCAAGTCTTCTGTCCTACCTGGTTTTCAATAAATATCTGTTAGTGAGAAAGTTGTTATGAATAAAATCCTATGAATATGAACAGCTCGAACATCCGAAGTGAATGGAAATCAATTTGTCAGTATATTTTACCGACAGTCACTTGGTAATGATGAGTGAAATGAATTTCAATTGGAAATTCAGAATAAGCGTGAGTGGATTTATGAAGGCGTGAATAATTTGTGACATACTAAGAAGACTTGAATATTCTTGGTTTCCAATATGAGATGTAGTGAATTGCCAGCGAGGTGGAATACTAATGTGTGTACAGAAATATGCAGCCACCGTTGGTGTGTATGTCTACAGATGCACACATCATCGGGACAGAAAATCTCCGTAATTGAAGTGGCTTTTGCTGTTTTTCGACCAGCAATTGTGATGCTCAGATGCATTTTGTGATCGATTTTTATTACGTCTTCTTGCGTCCGCATGAATAAAGCACGTTTTTCTTTGAGGCGAGGATTTGTCAGTTTTTATACAGTTTGCTCAAAATGTACTGTCCTAAGTGTAAATGTGATGAGCACTTGAAGGGTTATTATTTAGCATTTATTCTATCGTGAGGAGGAACATCCTACATATTTCCTTGGTAATTAGGTGAAGTCCCTCAGAGTGCACATTGGTAAAATCTCATAATGATGATAAGCTTATTGTGAGAAGCTGTAGATGCGAGGGTATGATCACAGGTGAATCCACGGATTGCAAGAGTTTGCAAACACCTTTATCTCTTCTACTTGTGTGTGTCCGAATTTCACAACTGCTACAGTTTTATCTATATTCATTTTTCTGTTTAGTGTGGGGATCATTCGTGATCAAGCAGAAGGCTTCTTAAGAAAGCGATGATAGGCCACGATTCAAGGATATCACTAGGAAAATGACAGTTAAGGCTTACCAGCTAACCAGCAGCATAAATAAAGTAAAAAGAATTATGGTAAACTAAGGGTGAAAAATTCGTTGGAGAAACCTTGACTGAAAAGATGGAAAACAGTGCCTTTTGTGGGACGAAATTAAAAGAAAACGTCAACTTCAGCTACTCATTTAGCAACTTGTTGATGACAGGTCGATGATACCAGTTTAAGCAATCTATAACTACAGAAGATGCTGACCAGAGTAAATCGAAGTAAATCCACAACTGATAATTAAACCTTTGCGATTAATGTATAGTATCAACAAACTTTCTTTTCATTTTAAAAGGCCATGCCTTCAGACAACCACACAATTATTTTATAACTGTAGGAAGCTCACTGTAAAGCTTAAAGCAATTCAACCTTCCATCCAGACGTTGCAATTTGGAATGACTTCAACATCTGATGCAGATAAATATCAGCAAGCTGATTTATGATACAGTGCCTCATGTCCATTTGGTTCATGAAATCATCGATTTGAAGACGTTTTGTCAATAAAGGATGCACGTTTGATGATGCGGACAACGTTCGTCTATTATGAATAAATTTCCCAATAGTGTGGTCTAGGAAAATTGTCCATTTCAACCCGAAGATGAATCGTCTTCAGTAATTTTTTCATGATACTTTCAACATTTTTCTGAAAATCTTAATTGGTTAATGATCTCTGCCTAATATGTTTTACTGATATTCCGACTAATCTAAATTATCCTTCGATGAATGAGTGACATATTCTAGATAGGTGAGTGAAAAATGCTGAATGTGGAACCTTTACAAAATGGAGCAAGGTGAGTTGGAATGTTTGTTTTCCAATTGTTCTTAACATGCTGATATCCACACCAGAATAAATTACTAAAAACGAGATCCAAGAGATAACCCACAGATGGTGTAATCCAAGTTCAAGGTCTCAGTCATGATCCTCCTATAGAGGTGGTTAAATTATCGCCTGTGGATCGCATGTAGTAAATTCAGTAAAGTTTCTTCAGGCAACCTTGATTCAGTTAACCACAGCAGTGACTCATATCGATATACAAACATTCGTCCATTCTAAGTCAAGAGTACCGCAGATGTCATCGTCTCTTGGTTAAGCAGGGATATCAATCCGCGCAATAAACCCTGTGAAAAACAAATATGTACTTCCGACTATGATTGTTGATCAACATACTTGACTCTCACTCGATTAAGCATTCCACATCATTTATCTTTCACGTGGTACTTGTGTTATGTGACACAAACCTGAGTGTCCACAGATTCATTCAACGGAATATGCTGCTAGAAATGCCTCTAGCGACGTGCTACATCTAACGAGCAAGTACGATACACGGCTTGATTTTCGCTGATGTTGAATTTAACAGGTTTTATGTTAAAATCACGGTCGTGATTTCGACCAACTTGGTCCGGATTAGATAAATAAATGAAATGTTCCGTTGAATTCATTGTCTTCATTAGTAGATTGCCTTTGCTATCGTGGTTTTTTGCAAATCACAGCAACCAATTAGGCATACAACAACTTCCGGCCCTTCATCTCACCTTCCACACCATAGTCAACCTGATTTCCGTTAGACAGCATGAAACATTCTTTCAAAAATAAGTGTGCGGTGGAAAGAAAGGGAACACTTTTGAAGCTTTATTGCACAAAGCTGACTTCTTTATCTCAAAGCAATTATCTGAAAGAAATATATATTGAAAATAAAGTGTTTCTGAAAACAAATGTACACCACAGTAATGATTACACCTACAAAGAGAAATTTTGCTATTTCCACTAAGTCATGTATTCTACTATTCTGTTTATACAATTGTCTTGCTTCCTATAATGGCACTCACATTACTCCCTGTCCGCTACTTGATAAAAAACATGTTCTCAATGGTTAGTTAACCCATTATATCGAAATACTCTTTTTACCTTAATTTTGCTTCTACCCTGAAATGTTTCCCAAAAATATCCACCTATTCATAATTTGACCCAGTGAACCAGGAGAATCACACAACTATCAGCAGATTTCCAGTGAGTTCGAACTAAAAAGCAACTCGAAAACAATTTCTGACAAAACAGAACCAGTTAGTGAACACTCTGCATGCCACTAAATTGAATATAGTTATGATGATCCTTGTCTCCCATCAAACAAGTTCTGATAGCTGATCGAAAAAATTGAATTCCTCTAGGCGAATATATAACAAAAACCACTTTTTCAGTCACACAAGTGACACGATAATTAAATTACGTGGCTTGAAAACGGAGTTGACTTTCCAGTTAGCCATCAATGGTAAATGATTGTTGATGTAGGACACATCACAGATGATGATGTCTTTATGATACTCAGTATGACAAATGTGTACATGAAGTGATAGAGACACGGAAGAATGTCTACACTCATATCCTTGAAAATAATGCCAATTTTATACTGCATAGTTCACTTCCCCTAATCGTTTGAACGAACTTAATTCTTTCGTTTTTCGAAATTCTGTTGACGCCTTTCTATGTAAATTTTCTTTCATCTCTTTCAGATATCGCGTGAAATTAAGCCCACGCCACATTATATCTCACTTCCCGCAAGATATCTTCGCAGTGGAGATCAAACTATTGATGATACTATTTGATGTGAATCTAGTAGACATTGAACACATTGACGACCACGCTCACAATCGTCCTTTAAATTTTAGTTCATATCGTTGAATTTTGATCCTTGACTTATGTCGCATTTTTTATGAACAAACCACGTTTTATCAAATAAAACCGCATGGTTCAAAGTGAAATATTTTCAGACGTGATACAAAGTCCAACTGAATGTTGAAATAACGACTTCATTATACTCACGAAAAAAATTTATTTAATTTGAAGTGGAGCCTTTGGTACCAATTATTGAACGCTTCACCACAAATTCAAAAATACTAAGAATCAAAGTACGAAGAATGAGATGGATATATTTACACATTAGCTGAGCATTCTTTTAGGGTGAATACTGTAACGTCTGGTGTGAGATGGCCGTTTACTCGCAAGTAAACAGTTCAATATTTGTCATATGTCGTAACTATCGTTTGCATGTCATTATTCAGAATCTTTAAAGGGAACAATCCTCGTGTAATTTTATGCCTTTTAGTTTCATGACTTCATATTTTATGAGGTTTTTCTACTCTATATCAATAATGGACAGTCATCCCAATGTGAGAGAATCATAACGGAATCTTTCTCTTCATGTCTTTTATTGACATCCTGAAAGTATCTGGACATTCGTCTAGAGTGGCAAGGCCCTGCGACGATATGCATACTGTCCATATTGACAGAGTTGAATAAACTTCCATCGCTTACCAAGATTCTGAAAATTTAAAATAGGAGAGTAGCCTATATCGAAAGGATCGTTGCAATAAATCGAAACGTCTACTGCACACATTGAGGGTTGATATGTTTTCTTGTATAAACCGTGAGTTATTTGAGGCAGGATTACTTGAATGTAACATATTTACATAGTATTTCTTGTTTAACATGGACTATGACATCTGTGTTTCGTAGGATATGAAATTCACAAACAAGTATCATATCTCACATATATAGGCGATCTCTATGCATCGAAATTTCGTGCTAAAAGTCAACACAAAGACATAAGATTTTTGCTACAAAATAATGTTTCGCAAGTTTGTATCTATCGCACTTACAATTTCATAACAAAATTTTACGGTTTGGTTTTCAGAAACCGTCAGTGAATACTCTCAGGATTATAACAAATTCAATGGATGTTTTATTTTTCAGGTTGCTAAAAATCTTAGTGTGGACTGGAACGGGTATGCAGTCGTCGGTTGCCTGTAAGTTTCACTGTCCGCGATCTTTCGTAAAAACACTATTAGCAGTATATGACTGTAAATACGTTTATGTTCGGTAATAATTATAATCCACAGAGAAACAGTCAGTTCACATGTTGAAGGCTAGAGCTATGGACTGAGTTCAAATACTCACCTAAATGGGGCGCCGAATTTCTGTTAGTTTAATGTCTAAGTACTTCTTATGTTTTCGTTGGACATATAGCGTCATCAAGGTTCATAGTTCATCAGACCTCAGTAGGTACACCGACATGTACCAATTGGTGGGTTGACTAAATTTCAGAAGATGAATTATGCCTGATATGAATATGGTCGGTGTGGTTATGTTCTTTACGTCTAGTGGTCATATCACTAGTACTTCATAGTCCATCTCAACGACATATTCAGTCTCAAATTATTAGTGAAGTAAGAGTTCGCAATTCCGCATTCCGGTTTTCTGAGAACAAAATCATCGTATAGGTATAGGCTGGTAAATAATGAATAAGTTGAATTGGGAATTATTCTACCGAATATTGAAAATTTGGATTCGGCTCATCTTAAACAAAGTATCGGACAATTAATCTGATGATCATAAAATCACTGATGAAATTTCGTGAGTCAGTGTATGCTAGGAGTAGTTCCATAGCAGCTTTGCAAGTATCAAAACCTCTTCTTCCGTTAACCGTAAAAGAATTCGATGAATAAGAAGTAAGTTTAGTAACGAATAATGAATATGAAGATAATAATATGCTTTCTGCATGTGATAACAAAAATTTGATATACAATCACATACCATCACACAGTCGATTGTTTAACATAAATAACTCTGTTTCAGCTACTGGAATTCATTACAGCCGTTTCCTATTTACATTTTAGAGTATTGATTGTTCTCCTTGGTATGTTGCTATTCTACAAATTCAGAAATAATTTGCCAGTTGCTTTGATGCTAATAAGAATAATAGTAAGTTTCTGAGAAAATTAGGATTATGAATTGACTTCATATACTCATGATCATTCTTTTTTGATGTGTTATTCACTCGAAAATAGGACAATTAGTTTTGACCAAACAATAAAAAGACATAAATTATCTGAAACGCTTAGTATTTTTGAAAAAAAAATGAACTAATTTGGGTCAGAATGCTCAGTGGTTTAGATCACAGACAAGGCCTAGGCAAAAGAGGAAAGAATAACTGGATGTTTAAAAGGTTATTGTGCAAGATGAACCTAGGTTCTGCAACCGGACAGGTTAAAAGTAATAAGAAGTGATCTTTTTACACGTAAAACAGTTTTAAACCTTTGTATTGCTGGGATTTAATTTAATTTAGGTTTATAATATACCTATTTATCAGTTAGGTTGGAAAAGATTACTAGAGAAAAATTTATGTCCTGTGTCTGTGATTCGCTGATCGATTGATGATAATAGACATATATTTCAAGTACGAGGTGAGTTTATTTCTTTTTACATCCATTCGGAAATGCGTTCTGTTGACATGTCCAGTAGAGAAAGATGAGCCCTCCGTATGTACGTGTGACTATGAAGGCATGTATAAATATAAATAAAGTGAGATGCGACACCACCGTTACGATACTGTCAGGGTTTACAGGAAAACAGAATTTTCGTCACTCACTCAAAACGAAAACCAGAACAACAACCACACACATTCTTTACCTATAATAGAAGTGAATACAAGGCTTTGAGGATGCATAAGTCTTTTTTGACTGTGGTCATTCAGTGCCAGCCAGAGAGAATTAGAGCGAAGTATGAACTCACTTTGTATTATACGAATGTTATGAAAAATATTTAAATATTTGTATTCACTTATTGAAACGGTTTCATCTATTTTGCTGACAGATTGTACTATGGTCTACCAGTATCATATTTTTATGTTGCGACTTTAAACAAGGAAACTGGTATATTCTCTTGGTCTTCATAATTCTGGAAGACTTGTTAACAATCATCTTCTGCTACTTTATCAGAAGATTTAAACAAAGAGTGATGCTATTCCTGCTGTCCTTGTCGACAGTGTGTGTGATAACCGGCATAGTTCTGTTTTTTGTAGCGAATGGTAAAGTGAGTTGAAGTGTAAAATGAATAGTTTTATTTTTAACATTTATTCCTGCAATTACAAGAATTGTTTTATTATGACTGTTACTCACATTTAGTCAACGTGTGGTTGATAATAATGATGATGGGAGAGAGCAAGGATTGATAGGCAAATTTCTAGCTGAATTCACTAATAATAATAATAACAATAACAATGAAACTTCATTTCAGATAATGTGGGAAATACGTGAGAAACATTTTCAGCGTCTTTAGTTTGTTCACTGCATAGTTAGAATTGCATGAAGATTGAATTCTTGTAAATACACATTTCGTAGTTGCGTTCGATTTGAAGACATTTGATTTTATCACTCATGCATCGGTGGCACATCGGTTAGGACGCTCGCTGCCCATGCACATGGTCCGGTGTTCGATCCCTGGCCGATGCACTCCTTCACCTCGCTAAACAAGAAATAATGTTGGTGAAGAGGAAAGGTTGGTAATGAGGCTAGCAAACCGATCCTGTAAAAATAATCACCACTATTACAGAAACTTCAAGTCTCTAGCTTGAAGCCCTATGTTCTACTGAGAACGTGAAGTAAAAAAAATTTATCACTCAGTTAATGAGATTTATTGACTTCCTTTTATCTTTTTTAACTCCTGATGAAAATTCTGAATTCAAATCAGTCGGAAACAATTCAGCTCCTTTTGAATGAATTTGCCGGTGGTTTCTGGAACACTGCTGTAGTTCTGGTATGTTCACACATCTTATATGAAAATGAATTCTTTAATGTCTGATTTGTGCTAAAATTCATTTGAATACATAAAGAGTATATAAGAGAACAGAAATTTATGTTGACCAAGCTTCATAAAGCAGGCTATGTTACCGCAAACTTTCCAATCAGATTTTATCAAGGCGTCGCTGCTTATTTTATGCTTAAATGCAAACCAAGAAATGTTATTTATTCAGCGAATCAACAAACTGACATTAAAATTTAATTGAAACTCTGTACATTCCTGTTGTTATACTTGTTGTTTCGTTTATTTCAGGTGGCTCTAGTTTTCGCCAGCTCTCTGAAATAGCTTTGGTACCACATTGTTGAATTCCTGCATAGTGTCATGAAATCTTCAGTGGAATTCACGTTTGGGTTCAAAAGTAGTCATTTAATTTTGTATGGACGAATCATAGTCCACATTTTCAATTTTTTTAATAAATTGTTGATTGTACATTAGAACTTCCACTTTTATTTGTGTAAAACAATTTCTGCAGAATGTAATGACTAGTTTTTTTCATGAGCTTTGTGATTTTCTCTTTTAAAGAAACTGAGTCCTTTTTGATTTTTTACCTTCTGACGAAGAAACGGTAGCATGATTATTTGGTTCAGCCAGAAATGCAGTGATGACAACTTTACGTGAAAATCGAATCACATTCAGTTGACGTTGATAAAGTTATTCAAATTATTCTCAAATACAACTAAGAGAGGAATTTTCGAAACAAATTATAAAACGAAACCGGATAGAATGAATGGATACTGTTAAAAGTCAATGAAGGAATTTAATTAGTGATCACTTACTGCTCACTGTGTCAGGTTGTGCACCAATGTGGTCTAGATTAAGAGCAATCACTTCACTTTCCATAGCATCCCATGAATCTGTGGTCATCTGTGTAACCTCCCTCAGATGTGTATCAGTCATCTTTCTTCTATTCCTGTACTCAGCAATGATATTTAGTCACTTATGTTTGCAGCTGAGACAATTTTATGAAATTTTCGACCTTACTCTCTGTCGTTATACACACACACACAACTGATGCATTCAAATCAGAAAAATCTGCAGAAGTTTTAAAAAAACGTGATACTTCATTTCACTCTTCATTTTCTGGTTATCAAGACTAGAGTCTGTGGCTTATTTCAAGACCACCCTCTCACATTTTCAGCTTCTGAGGAGACATTTGTCACTGTGATTGCTTTGAGTAAAATTATTCTTAAGCATACTTTAAAGGAATATGAAAAACACCGACACAAAGAAAAGCTTGTCTTATTAATGTATACGCAAAAAGACCTTTTTAAGGTGGTCTGAAAATGCAGCTGATCATTTACCACACAAACCGAATAATACCTTCAACGAATTTGAAATAAATGGAAATTTTCTTCACTAAACTGTCTTTTATTTTCTACATGACTCAATGGGTATTAATCGTCTTTTCCTAGTCAGGTTCTACCCAAGAGATTCCCTGGAACACGATGTAATTTGACGGTCTCCTCAGAGTGTTTCCGATCCATCTCCATTTTCTTCGTCATATCTGTTGAGCAATGGAGTGTTGATTGGTCCCTTCATAACTACATAAGATACAGAGTGCGACCATGTTTAGCTAGATCTAAATCGACTTCAATACAATAAAATCCTATTTTGCAGTTTTATTCACTATCAACGATTTTCCGCTGACATCGTTTGGTGTAAATGCTTCTGTGGAGACATGATCACATGTTACCTGTAACAATAGTTCACAACCGTCTCCACATGCTATCTCATAGCGTGTATTGAAGTAGCCGTTATATTTTAAAATAAAGATTTGCCACATATTGGTATCATTCTGCATTTGAAGTTGAAAAGTGAAGGGTTCAAGGAAGATGAAATATTAATTATATCACCGGGAGCGTTTTCTACATATATGAATTCATTTTCGAAATTAGAGATTTCTCTGAGAACAATTACTGACAATAAATTCGTACTTCTGCACCATCCATCTTCTTGTAGATTTCCACAAACAGCATCTAAGAAATAGACATTATGGTGAAATTTCGGTCACATTAGAAACACTGATATGGTACATCGAATGAATTGTGTTTGGATGTTGACCGAAATTGACTGAGAATTAGGCAGTGGTAATTTTTAATATTCTTCTGAATGCATGTTGAATTCTGAAGTAGGGATGATCGATTGGTGAGAATGGATGATGGGTGAGAGAGAAGATTGACTGACGGTGAGATGCACTGTTTCTATGGTGAGGACACTGTCAACTGACTTGACATGTGAAGTCATCGATATGGATGGGGATAAGGAGCGACGAGTTGAATATGTAGTCTATGGTGACATGAGATCTATTAGGTTTAGGTGTCATACATGGCATGAAGAACAATGTAGATTCACACAGGATTACAACAGCATACCGCCTCACCCTTCCACCCAACACCCATCTAACTATCAGCAGAATATGAAGTTGGTCATTAGGACACAGTCTGGACTCGTCAATTACCTAGTCAGCATGCATCAGATTCCAACTAACATCATTCTTCACTGTATTTCTTCCACATATCTCAGTATTAGTCTTGACAAATCACACTGAATATCCATTCTCTACGAATGCTTCCCTATTTGTCGAACTTCTTCATCAAAACTGTCTTCACTACGAATTCCTCAGACGCGACTTCAGAAGAAATGGATTAATCTCCTTCCTCTGTCCATGGGAACGAAATTGTAAAATCTTGTCAGCTGTTCCACAGATGTCAGTTTTCTTTTAATTATGCTTCTCGAATACATGTCACTACTTGTACTGATACTACACCAAGACCCACTCTCCAGCTCGCCCCTAAGAAAGACGTGTACACCATGCTACCCCATATTGGGCATCGAAGCAGCCTGATAACTAGACAAAGACTGAATGCTGCTGTCAAAAAGACTTTTCATGCAGCCCATATCATAATAATAGAGAATGTAAAGCCAATATATTGGCCATATATCTATCTAAGCCCTTCGAACATGCGAAAAATCACATCACATCCCACTGTATTTACCAATTGGAATGTACGTGTTGACACATACATAGGGAGGACTCATCGATCTCTGCAAGTAAGGGCTTCAGAGCATATTCTTCAATGGTCCCAGAAACAAATGGAATCTTCAGAACCTATTAACGGTGAGAACAGGAGACCTAGCTCTTCTATTGCGAAACATATTATAGAGACAGGACATAAAATTGACGTTAACAGATCTTTTAAACCTATCTATCAAACGTGTTTGTGGCGTATTCTAAAGTGTGTGGAAGCCCTAGCAATTAGAAAGTTTAAGCCATCTTTATGCGTTCGAAAACAATTCGTCATCACATTAAACCTTTCTTGGTAAATTTTGTTTTGATACCATAGCAGATGTACTATTACCTCTGTTATTTGCTTAAGTGGTCTTCATTGTTACTTTGATCTTGAATATGTCCTTTAAACTTGATCTAAGTCTATTTTCTCACCTCTTACCTCTTTATTAATTTCATATATATTCCTATGACAAGTCCGTGTGTGATCAGATTGTTCGAAATGTGTTGCGTAAATACATTGCACACACGATTCAGACAAAATACGTCTTCTTATTGCTTTATCTAAATTCATAATGGGAACTAATTTTTTTAAAATCAATAATAATAATGTGGTAAATGTTTTGATCGAAATTAATGATAACAAAATACTGATAAAAGGTTTATGCAGGTGATAAGAATAACAAAGATAGTATGTGTATATAAGTGTATATGTAGACAATTCTGTAAATAAATAAATTTGGTCAAATCTTAAAAGTTGAAGTGGAACGATAATCAGAGTTTAAATAAATATCATTAAAGTACGAAGGAGATGGAAAATAAGAAAGGGTGGAAGTATTTGAAAAAAATTCACCTAGGCCAAGGGAGAGACAAAGGTAGAACAAACGTTTTTGTATGCAAAGACTAGGATTGTTCTCTCGAATTCCCATTGTTCGGCTAGGCTTAAAAGACGGGTTCTGATTCCATTCGAAAGACTCGATGGAATACGATAGATAACTTTGAAAGCACTATTTTCGTCCACTTGGTGACCGCTATCAATCAAATGAACCAAAATAGAACTTCGTATGGATTTTATTCTATCTTTTCCGAACCATGAAGGAAGATGCTCATTAATGCGTTTGTTAAGCTGTCTAGTTGTTCGCCCTATATATACATATATACAAATATATGTAAATATATAGACTGATGTCTTTATATTGTGAATTCTGTTTGGTAGTCTTCGACATCATATAGATCATCACACTGATCACAATCTCGTTTGCTGACTTTATTGTCACTGATGTGAAGAATACGAGTAAATCCACATTTTCCTTGTCTTCTCCTTACATAACACTTAATACCAGTAATAATAATGATAATATGAATCTGCAGTACAAATAGTTCTAACGATTACGAACTTCTGATTTCTGCACTCTCCGTGTTTTCATCTGGTTTGCACATCTGGAAACACTATAACTCATGGAGTTATTTACTCACTACGAAAGAATAATCACTGTGGATATATCCGCCTATGAATGCGATAGTCAGATGAGGTAAGGAAACCTAAAGACAACTAAGAAAACGACAATATTCACATCGGGTAGAGTTTTAATTCCTACTAAGTA